ATAAAATTGTCTTTTACAGGCTGTCAAGTTGGTTCAGTGGGTAAAGTGCTACCTGTGCAAGCAAGCCTAATGACCTGAGTTTGATCCCTGGTACCCACATAAAAAGCTGGATGTGTCATGGTGGTTCACGGCTAGCTGTAACTCCAGTTCCAGGGGATCTGATGTCCTCTTTTGGCCTCTGTGGTCACTAGGCACATGAACATTGTAAACAAATATACATGCAGACGAAACACTCATAGCCACAAAACAAAACAAAGAAGAAAAAAAAAAAAAAAGAAGCAGCATGCTGCGCCTGAAATTCTAGCACTCTAATAATGAGACGTGGGGTGGAAACAGAATTAATTGCCTGGAAGCTCTTGGACCAGCTAGCCTGGGGTACACAGTGCAGAGCAGCAACAATGGAGACCCTGTATCATCAAGGTGAAAGATGAGAACACACACACTTGTTCTTTACAGCTCCCTGACACCCACTGTCAGTCCTGGCTCTGAGATTTCACAGCAGATAATTAGCACCCTTCTGTCCACAGACTAAAATCATAGAGACAGCGATTTTGTTCCATTTCCCCTTTAATCCAGTCCCTAAGATTGCTCTTATGCCTGTCTGTAACCCTCTCCATGCCTGAAGATCACTGTACACTTTTACGTGTGTTGGAGACCAAAGCCCTGCTTTAGAAGGTGACCTTATTTGGAGACAGGGTCTTTACAGGGACAATCAAGTTAAAAGGAAGTCATCAGAGCAGGAGATGAGCCAATGTCAGTTTGGACTAGCACACCATCATACATCTATCTGTGTGAAGATGAAGAGATCAGAGATGGCTAGCAAACCACCAGAAAGCATAGGCTCCACACAGTCTCCCTCAGCCCTCAGGAGCTGGCCTGTTGTCACCCTGATCTCAGACTTGTGAAGTGACCTAGTTTGTGGTGCTCTGCTGCTATCAGTGGCAGCAGGCCATACTTCCCAGAAATGTGACACGATAAAAGGTTAATAAAGCTGTCCACAGCAGAATGATTGATTTTACTTATGTATGCAAATAATTATTTCCTAAGACCGGTATTTCTATTACCTGAAAACATCAACGCCCTCTGTATGAGGCTATCTGAACACTTCATGAAATCACTTTCTCAATTACTGGTCAGCACAAACCTATATCTAGATTCTTCCTATTTCACTTATTTCCTTGCTAACTCTGGTTTTGCCATGTTGCTGACACGGCAATACAATAGCAACCTTCAGCTTCGTGTGTGTGTGTGTGTGTGTGTGTGTGTGTGTGTGTGTGTGTTTGACACGGTTTCTCTGTGTAGCCCTGATTGTTCTGGAATTAGTCCATCATGGACTCTAACCCTCTAGAACCATAAACCCAACTCAATGCTCTCCTTTAGAAACTGCTAGGTCATGGTGTTTTATCATAGCAATAAAAAAGAAACTAAAACATAATCCTAATATCTTCTCATGTGTGTATGGTGCTAGGGATCAGACCCAGGGCCTGGACTCGTTAGACAAACACTCAACTGCTTCCAGTTGTGGTGGCTCACAACTGGAACCCCATCCATCGCTCAGGAGGCTGAAGCTCTTGAGTTCAAGTCCAGACTGAGTTACAGAGGAAGACACTCCTAAACAAACAAATAATATGCCTGTTAAAGCCAAGCAACAAAGAAGAAAGCTCTGCCTCTGAGTTGCCCTCCTAGGCTCATGTATTGTAACTCCATAGCTCCGCTGTGTCATCAGAAACTCAGAAGATAATGGAGTGATACTCAGAACATTACAATATAATTTTTTAAGAAGTCAGTAGTTTTATTACTCCTGAAGAAGTCTCTAAAAGATTGCAATGGAAATGACCTCTGAAATAGCATAAAGAAAAAGAAAAGACAGCTTGGTTAGTAATCGTGTTTCCCACAAAGAATTTGGAGGAAAGCTCTATCCTAGTGAATTTCCAAACATCATTATAGGAATCCCAGTGTCTTCCATAAGGACACACAGAACAGCAAGTAGCAAACAACCCAGCCAGTTTTGGATGGATGTGCTATGCAGAGGACCATATTTTCTATAGTTATTAGGACTTTCTGCAATAAGAGAAAGTTCTATTTTTGCACTGCCCAGTAAGGTGGCCACTGAGTACTTGAAATGTGGCTATCAAGACTAAGGACCTGAATTTTGGAATTTACTTAATTAATCCACAATTAAATAGCCACAGGTGACCACACTGGCCCTCACAGGTTCTTTCCCTCTCATAGTTTTCTTGCCTTTTCACCTAGTTTGGAGGCTCTCAGGCAGCGAGGCAATTCTGACTATGAGGTTGCACACATAGGGCACTATCTAGTAATGTTCAAGGTTCTTAGTACTGGGGAAGAAAGGAGCAGAGGCCAGGAGTTCTGCTAAATACCCCACAATGCACAGCATCCTTACAATAAGGAAGGATTTAATTCAAAGCATCAATAGTATCAAGGGTAAGGAAACCTGGCATAAGGGTGGAGAGGCGGTGGCTCACTTCGCTGCTCTTGCACGGGACTCAATCTGGGCTTGTAGCACCCACGTGGCAGCTTGTAACTGTCTCTAACTCCTGTTCCAAGGGGTCCAACAACTTCTGGTCTCTGAGGGTGTCAGGCATTCACACAGTACACAAGCAGTACACACAGGCGCTCACACATACATATATACAACCAGCAAGAGGACATAACCGCTGCCAAGCCTAAGTCCCTGGTTCAATCATGGGATTCACATGGCAGAAGGAAAAGAACTTACTCCTGCAGGTTGTCCTTTGACACATACTCCCAGGGACACTCCAAAACAATAAATAAATAAATCCTTTGCCCCTTACTGGTGCCACTATAGGCTCATGCTAAGAAAACTGTCAGATCTTGTTTAGGACCTGCTGACTGTTTCTGTAGGCTAGGAAGGAGTGTACATAAATAACTCCACTTCATGGTTTGGAACATGTGCCCAGGTCTGTGTGGATAACAGGACTGCTTTCGTGTTTAGAGGCGAACTCTAGAACAGTGCTTCCACTGTGCTGGGTCCAGAGCTCATTTCTTCACTCTTGATTAATTCCTCTTTCAATAATTTTTGTCTTCTTCGTCAGATTTTCCTGCTTCCCCTTCACCCCAGACCTTGAATTCCACTGGTTGGCAATGCAGGATTGCATACTTTCTGCAGTAAGGTACCCTCCTCCACCATCTCTACTCAGATTCACTGGGATTACCAACTCTTCCCACGATGGTGGCGCTTTCTCTCCCTGCTCCTCTTCCATCCGTCTGTAATCTACCTGGGCTCTGGTTTACAACAATCCACCTATCAGAAATCTTTTTCCTTCTTCCTCTTTGGCTGCCTAGATGAGGTTTGTTCTTTGAGGCCTATTTTGAATGTAATCTCTCTTGCCTACTTTGATGACTCCCCAACCACAAATAATCTCTTCCTTGTCTAACACTGGGTATTACGCTGGGTATAACCCTCATAAGACTTGACATTATGACCTGTACAGTAGATATCTGTGAATGTGAAATGTCTGTTCCATTCAGATCTCCTACATGGTACTGACCTTTGTGTTGGAGGCAGTACTAGGAACATATTCTTTTTCAATAATAAAGAAAAATTCTTCGGTGAATGCAAACTCACCAAGCTGTTCCACAATTTTCCATCAGTACAAATGGTCAAAGAGATCAAAAAACAAATACAGTTTTTTACGGGGCATTTAATTTCAGAGCTTGGTCAAAATAGCTTAGAGACTTCTGGTAGTCTAGGATAGCCAACTATACTTTCTTAGAACATGCCTGGATTATGTGGAAACACAAAAATTGTTCTGGAAAAAGCTAAAAAACAATTTGAAGGCATCTGTGGTATAACTTTGTTTATTTTAGGTTTTAAGATGAACACAAGAAGTTCGGAGACTTTAAAGCTTGAGGCGTTTTATAAAATGACAGATTTTGAATGCATTGCAAATTAGGTTACCTAGTTCACTTCCAAATGAAATAAAACCAAGTTAGAAAATTTAGCTCCTCCGTAGTTAAAAAAAAAAAAAGCCAAGTAATCTCCCTTCAAATTATAAGCTAATCAGAGAGGCCTGTTACCTCATATAAACATTTCATTAAGGTACTCGGATGACATTACTCCTACATGAATAATGAATCCCCGTCCCCAGGCTCAACTTAAATTATTGCATGCAGTTTATTTGGTGACTTTTAGTGTGGACAGAGGGCTAAGGTGGAAGATGGGAAAAGAACCGGTTTAACTCGTATTCAAATACCTTTGCAGATTAAACAACACAACTTTACTACCCCGCCCCCCTTTCCGACCCGCAGTTCTGGCTGGTATCACAATAAAGTGAAAAGATGATGTGAACAAAGGGGACAGGCACCTGCGCCTTCTCCATCGCAAATATTTCTTCCCAAACAGGGCCGGAGTCAGGGTTTGGCCGACCTTTCAAGCCCTGGCTCCTTCCAGGGTTAACTGTCTACCCTGGGCCCCCTGAACAAGGCTCCACAGTCAGGGCACTAACACCGATTTCTCCTCCTCCTACACGTGACCGCCGGGGCGCACGGCCGCCGGGGGACACAGACACCGCAACGCGGTAGACCTGGTGACAAAGAGGCGCGGGCGCATCCGGAGCCCCGCCGGCCTCCCGCGCTCAGCGTCGGCGGAGCCTGCGCAGGGCGGTGCCGCGCAGCGCGGGCCGCGGGAGCGGGAGCCGCAGCCGGGAGCGCGCCGCGGAGCCGAGCAGAGCTCGCCGCGCGCACCGCCGGGCAGCGGAGGAGCCGAGGAGAAGCCGAGCAGCGCCCGGCGCGCAGCCGACCAGCCCGAGGAGCGGAAGAGAAGCCGAGCAGAGTCCGCCGAGCGCCCGGGGGCCGATCCACGGGGCAGAGCCCGCCGCCCGCCGGCGACCTGCTTCCAGCGCCGCCGCCCCGGAGCCCCGCAGCACCTCGGACACGGGTGAGCAGGCCGCGGCCCGTCGTGCTCGGCCCCGTCACCGGGCCCCGAGCGCCTTCCCCCCCCCCCCTCCCGCACTTACACCACGGCTCGGGAGATCATCCAGGACACCATCTTTCCGGCCGCTGGGCCGCTGACCGCAGGCCGCGCGCTCCCCGCTCGCGCTCCCCGGGGCCGCGCTGGAGCCCTCGGGAGCCGGCCCGGTGTGTGCGCGCGGCGCCCGGAGCCGCCCGGCGCCCGGTCCCCCGCCCGCCCCCGCCCGCGGCCCCGCGGCCCAGCCGGCCCCGCCCCTGCGCTCCGCTGATAGGCGGCGGCTCCGGGACCCCGACGGGCGCTGCGCTCCACCGACCTGCGCGGCGACCTCGCTTCCCTGCGTCGAGGGACGCCGGTCGGGCGGTGAGAACGCGTGGGAGCCGAGAACGGGCGCGGGGGAACCGGGATGGGGAAGTGCCTGGCTAGGTGCGGCTCCGGTGCTCACGGAAGCCCGGCAGCCGGGGCCTAGCGCAGGCCTGGGTCGGGACCGCGAGGCTCGTGGTGCAATGCAGGGGCCAAGGGAGAGCGTTTGGGGTCACGGTTGGAGTGATGGGCGTGCGGTGATGGCGAGGCCGCGCTGGGCCCCCTGGGGCACCTTTTCCGTCGGCGTCAGCCAACTCCTGTATTGCCTGATACATAGCCGGAGTAGTATGTGAAGCCAGGATTTCCGACCGGTGGTGCTGTTTACAAGTGTCATTTTTTCCCCCCTTTCCGGTGTGTTTGGGGGGAGGGGAGGAGTAGATTACTGCTTACACTGTCTAAAATTTTAAACTCCTGAGTTTTGCGTGACAAGTACCAAATTGGGAAAATGACCTTTAGTTACTGTAGATGTTTTTCTCTTAGTCTCCTGGTTGAAGCAGTCGTAAAAGTTCTCCTAAAGCTGGGAAGTCTGTAATGTGGGCCTGGTGCCTTTAATTAAAGTACTAGAAAATATGATGGCTCATTTTGTGACATACTGTAATTTAATCTTTTTGTTCCCCAGTTTCCCCATAATAAAAAGTGGCTAATAATACTCTACCTTACCTTCTGCTTTTCAAGGGTGATGTAAGGTATTGCTAATTAATGTTTAGGAAAGGCTCGGATTTGCCTGGAATGGTATCAAGGGACAGGGGTAGGTTATCCCGAGTGCCTTTTAGTTCTTGAGGCCTATAAATTAAGAAGAGTTCTGGTTGTTTAAAAAAGGAGCAGGCGAGGCCTGATGGTGACAGCCTTGTGATCCCAGCACCCTGGAGGCTGAGGCCTGCCGGATTCCATCCTCCAGAACCAGGAAGAAAAGAACTCTAGCTGCTTTCTGCTCTTCGGTTCTTTTTGTTTATTTACATTAAGAATATATGCTTTTATCCCAGGGGCTGCAATGATAATTTGTGTTGGTTCTGGATTATTTAGTTTGGCCAATATTCAGCGTTATCGGGGAGTCGTGTTTGCCACCTAAGCCCCAGTTTTCTGGGACACTCAGTGTCCTTCGTATCCTTACATGGGCACTGGTCCTGTAATGGCTTTACAGCCTTCATTTCTGACCCTCGGTATGTCTTTCCCCGCCTCTCTTCTCTGAACCAAGCCGTGTGTTCATGCCTTTGACGGAGTTTTGTTTTTTCTTGAATGCTTAATTCCCCACTCTGCCTTTCTGACCTTGATTTTCCTGACACGTGCTTTCTTTCCCCCCCCTGGGCCCCTGTACCATATCCCTTAAATTTCTGGATGTCTCTCACTCTTACTCATTTGGTTTCTTTTAGTGCCTTTTTTGCCCTGATGCCTTTTGTCGTTGTTTGCAGGACACAGCCCCCTGGTTCCTATTTCAAAAAGCCACGGGTTGTAAACCACCTACCCTGTGCTGCTACAGTGTTGTTGAGTCATCCCGACACTCCAGACAGCCCTGGAGTGTTGATTCTCTTTGATACCATGGAAACGGAGGTTTAGAGAACTTAACTCATTAGCCAGTGATCACATAGTTCTTAGGTAGTAGAGCTGAACTCCAATACTGTGATTCTTACCTAAATTGGGTGGGAGCTAGATGGTCCAGGGAGGTTGCTCTCTAGGGGGAAATTAGCAGCGCTCCCCTCCCCCTCCCCCTCCCCCCCTTAGTGGTTTGTAATTGGGATTAACCATTAACTTGTGGATGGGGGCTTGAATACTATACTTTTTGCTATGTGTTGGACATGCTGAACAAAGGATGTTCCTCTGTCCTTCATGGCTTATGAATATCATGCTTGTGATATTTGTGATTATCTGAGCCTGAAATTTCTACTTTATGAAGTCATAATTTTAACCAAGACTGCATTTCCTTGTATATGTTTCTTCACATTCTTGTTGTATAAATGAAAGGAAGGCCTGTTCTGTTCACAGCTTGATTAGAAATTGCTTATAGTTTTGGAACATTGCATCATAAGCAGGTTTGCAAATGCTGCCATGTCCAGCTACTATTTTGTCTCAGCCCTCCTATGTTGACATGCTTTTTTTTTGTAACCTATTTTCATTTCCCCTTTGCATTTATTATCTTTATTTAGGGTAGATGGGTTTGTTTGAAATTGCCTGTGTGGAGATTATCCATTTCATTTCAGAGTGGTAGAGTAGAAATTGGAAAGTGTTTTACAGAAGGGCCGTGTAGAAGCTGATACAGTTGAGAACTATTGACCTAAATAAGAGTCAGTGTATCTAAGGCGGAGCCTCTTGTGGGAAGTGCCCAGCTTTTAGAGGTGGCTGTCTCTGTTATTGAACCTCAGATACTTAAGATCTGCTAACGACATGGCCATGCTTGGCTGTGTAAGATGAGGCTTTGGCACTATATGAGAAAAGGAAATACAGTATCTGTAAGTGTGTGTGTGAGTGTGCTTGCTTCCTGCCCCTGCTTGCACCAAAGGAAGGCCTGAGGGTGTCAGGCCTCCTCTGTCCTTTGTCTTATCCTGTGAGGCAGGGTCACTGTGAACTTGGAGAGTTGATGTTTTCAGCTAGGCTGATACCCTGCAAACCGTCCTGCCTTTGTCCCTTGCCACACTGGGGTTATAAGAACGTGGGTTAACCAAGTCTGGCTTATGAGGGGGGCAGTCATGGGCGTGGGGTGGGGCGTTGAGATTGGGACTCTTGTCTTCATGGGTGAGGATCAAGCCTTGTTAACCCACTTAGCCATCTCTCTAGCTCTGAGTAGCTTTTGTAATGTGGTCTTATCTGCCATGCTTGCCGTCATTCCATGTACAAGGCAGGAGAAAATTTAAAGCCATTTTTTTGATTTCGTACATTTATTTCATCACTGTTGGTGTGTCATGTGTGGTGTGCTTCCTTCCTTGTGTTATGCAAGGGCACTTTTTTTCCGTGGATATCGAGTTCAGTTTTGATGGGAGGCAATGTATGTAGGACAGAGGACATTTTCTCAGGAGACCTGTTTCTTTAACCGGTAATGAGGTGAATGGTGAGTCACACACAGTGTGTTTTGTTTTGAATAAATATGTTAATGGGTGGCGATCAAATGTAAAGGGTTTTAAGACTCCTCTAAAAGACTTGCTTTCACTGCCAACATCTTCACTTAGTGGTCCTAGGAGATAGTGGAATGTACATCTTTTGCATGTTAAAGGGGTTCATTTATTAGCAAATGAACGGAGTAGGAAAGTACCTCAGGCAGAGAGCTCCTGGCTGGTAGAGCAGAATTACAGGGTACAGAGATAGTATCTAGTCATGTAATTATTAATGAATATGCTAATGAGACTGAATACTAGGTCACCTTCCCATTTCTAATAGGAGAGGGTTTTTTTAAATAATTGAAAATACTTTTTGTAAAGAGTCTCAAATTACCACATTACCTTAACACTAATTTAGAAATAGTAGTAGGCCTTGACTAACTTGGAGGAAGAAACTTGAATCTTGTTCTATGTGTGCCGATGAACACTTTCCTGCCCCTTTCTGAGCCAGTCTCCTTTGAGTGTTATGGTTGCTGCTAGGTAGAGTTTGGCATCCTGCATGGAAATTGAGTCATAAAGATATGATGCTGAAAGTACGATAAGATCGAATTAGAATAGACAGATTAGATTAGAGTGAAGTAGTCGGTACAGGTATCTTGATAAGAGCTGCTGACCAGCTCTCAATGGGGAAAGCAAAATGGCTAGCTGTCAAAGCCTCTGGAAGCCCCTCTGGCAGCTGGCACTGTTTCAGGTCTCTATGTTTAGGAAATAGCTTCACCTGAAACCTGGATTAAGACCAAAGAGCTTTCTCCCTCTTCTTGGCTAAAAAACAATACTATGTTAAGTGGCAGAGACACATATTTAAGGCACTTTCAGCATTCATTTAAAGTACAGTAAAATATAACCTTGTGAGCTCAGAAGACTGTGGGGTTTCAGAAAGCTAAAATACTTGATAATTCCATCATGTGATCGTTTAGCATTCAAGCAGAAAATTTTAAAATGTTTACTGATGTTGTTTTGTTGTCATTTGAAACATACCAAGTGAAATTGAAAAGTGAAATGGTGAAAAAAAAATCTAGTCTTTTTGTTCCACTGTCTTCAGTCATCATTCAGTTTCCTTCAGAAAAACTAATTTTTACATAAGTTCTACATACTCAAGGAACAAATTAAGTGCCATCTCTTTCAGAAGATAGAGAGGGTTTTGTTAATATCTATCTTAAAAAAAAAAACCAAAACCAAAACACAACTGATTTCTTAGACTCTGTAATCCCCTACCTCCTTCTTGCTAATAGCTTGAGGACCATTCTTAGGTATAAAGTGACTTAATGGACAGCTACCTGCCAGATAAACATAAGGAAAAAAAGAGATAACCATTTCATGAACAGAGATTTAAAAATCTTTAAGAAGATAACTGGCATACAGAGCCCAGTAGTGTATGAGAAATTATATTCTGTGACAAAGTGGGGCATCCTAGGTATGAAAGGTCCAGTTGACAGTAGAAAATCACTTAAAATAATTTTATCACATCAGCAGGCTAACAAAGAAAAGCAGTATTGTGATATCAATACACACAAGAAAAGCACTTGACAAGTCCAAGACCAATCAGTTCATTATGAAAAATGTTCACCAAACAGGGACAAAGAGGGGCTTCGTTGCTTGGTGAAGAATGTCAACAAACCTGTAAGTGAACATAGTTCCTGGTGAAGAACCAAATGCTTTCTCTCTAGGGCAGGAGCAAGATAGAGATACCCTCATCAACACTGCTTTTCAGCAGTGTTACAAAATAGGCCAAAGATCTTAAGAGACACCTTGCCCTGGAGGAAATACCTATGACAAATGAGCATGTGAAAAGGGCCCAACCCCCATCCGTCAAAGGTTGACAAGGTGGGGATGCATTCCACACCTGTGAGGTGACTGAATCCAGAGCACTGGGGCAGCCTCGCTGCCTGAGATGAGGTGCACTGACTAGGGAGGCAGACAGTCTACTGATGATGTGTACAAATGGCATGGCCAGATTGAAAGTCAGGTTTTCCCAAATCAAACGTGATCGTTCAGCCCAGTGATCTCAGACCCTCCAGTGTTGACATGCCACAGGGAAGCCTGCGTGTGTCTGTAGCAGCTTTAGTAACGTTTGTCACAGTTCACCTGTGATCAAGATGTCCTTCAGTATGGAGGGTAGAGAAGTTATAGTAAGTTTAGACAGTGCTGACAGAGGAAGCAGTGGAGTCCAGGAAACCTCATCCCACATTCTTGTGAAAGAAACACTTCCTGAAGAGCCTGTACACTACGACTTCAAGCATGTGACCTGAAAAGGCAGAGCCATGCCCAGCAGAAAGAGAAGTGGCTCTCACAGTTGTGAGGGCTGGAGAGGCACACAGGAGGTTTGTCACACAGCACAGCTTTTCTTGTCCTGCACTGATTCACAGGAGTCGTGATGTATGTGTTAAAATCTGCAGGATGGTCAAGATAATAGGGACCGATTTTGTAAGCTGTGGAGTGTGAATAAAGCCAGTATCTGTGTGTCCGTCGACGGCACCGGTGCAGCACTAATCGCCATATTAATATTTCTTTTTATTCCTCGTTTTTCTTGCTGTCCTGGAGTTTCTCACAGGTCAGACTCAAGCTTTCTTCCTAAATCCTACCCTTAAAAGAAAAACAGTTGCTTCTCATTCATGTTGCTCACTTGTTCCCCTATGGGACGTGACGTTGGCCAGATTAGCAAATCTTTGCTATGAGGGCAAGTTGATTGGGCTGATGAGATAAGTCAGCAGGTGGAGATGTTTGCCCCCAAGACTGGCAAGCTGAGTTTGATCTTGGTTCCCAGGGCACACATGAGCCTGAGCACACAGCACAGATGCACAAGCAAACAGCGCTGGTGACGAGGGAATCCGAGCGAAGGGAGAACCCTGCATGTGCTCACATGTCAATAAGCTGTCAGCTCCTAGGACAACATTTCTGCTTTTCCTTTTGTTAAAGATGGGGTCCCACTGTGTATCTGTGGCTAGCCTGGAACTTACTATGTAGACCATGCTGGCCTCTAACTCAGAGAGATCTGCCTGCCTTTGTCTCCTGAGGGCTGGGATGAGGACTGGACCATTGTACCCTGCCCCAGTGTCTTGATTAGTAAGGAAACCAGATAAAAAGTTTCTCGGCTGCATTTTGCCCTCAAATGACTGTATTGCTGAGAACAGGCTGATGCTCTCAAGTCTGTAGTAGATGAATTTAGCTGTCGCAGAGGATAGCTTGCCCACGTTTTTACATCTCTGTGGACACCAGGCTTTTAATTGTTTACTCCTGTCGAGACATGATCTGGGCCTGTTGTTTCACACTGTATTTCCTAGCCCTTGCCCCATCCTTTGCATTTTAAAAACTGTACTTGCTGTATCTCAAACTTACTTGTAAAAGACTTGTATTTAAGTCATCTGTGATGCTGCCTAATTCATTCTTCTACCCTGAGATTTTTGTATTTAATTTCCTACTTTCCCATTCTGAGATTCGCTGGAGAGGCCCTTCATCTTTCTCACACCTTCGAGACACTACACGCCTTACTTGTTTTCTTTCCTTAATACTAGGTTTCTGAGACTTACTTATTTTTACTTGTAAGCCTGGTTCCTTCATTTCTTCTGCTATGTAGTATTACCAGTGTTTGAGTATATGCCAGTAAATTTTTTATTCCACTCATTGATGTTTTGGATGTTTGGAGCATTTCTTTGTTTTGTTTTGTCTCAGCTACCCATGTGAATGTTTATGGTATGTGACATGTATGTACTACATCATATTCTGAAAAAGTATAGGGAGATAGTCTAGTAGTAGACTCCACACTGAGCATGTCTAAGACTCTGTCTTAACTCCCAGAACCCAAAACATAAAAGAATAAAAATATACTGTTGACACCTTGAATGGTTGCCATCTGGGTCCTGCCAGCTGTCACTGCGACAAAATACTTGAAAAGGCACCTCAAAGGGCAGTTCAGAGGTCTCATCCAGGGTCACTTGGCTAGTTATTTTTCTGCACTTGCCTGAGGCAGAGCTTCCCGACTGGACCCATGCTCCCTAGAGCTGGGAGGAGGGGAAGAGGTAAGCCAGGGTCACAGTATCCTTCAAAGCCATGCTCCCCCTCCTCCCCCAAGTTTTTACCTCCTCCCACTAGTACCAACAGCTGGAGACCAAGCTCCAACACATGAGCCTTGCAAGAACATTGCAGATCCAAACATAGCACCATTCGTTCTAGCAGATGCTAAAGCTTCTTGACAGCAGGATGTGCTCTACACACCCCGACTTGCCTTGTTTGGCCGTAGTCACAGTAGATCTCTAGGTGTCTGTCACTTCAGTTCCTCATTCTGCAGATGAAAGTAAAAGCCTCCATCGGTTGTGTAATGTTCATCTGGTGTTTACAAGAGGAGGTCTAGAGAAGAGGAATAATAAAATCAGGAAGTCCAGTAGAAATTGAGAAAGTTAAGTATTCTTTGAAAGATTAAGGAGAGATGTAGTCTGTTATAGATTGGTGCTACTGTGTTGGGGGCTAGGTTGATGCCCAGGAGATGAGTGGTGTCCTGGAAGGCTTCCTCAATAGGGAAGGGACTGCATTGGATTCACCCACTACCTGGGTTAGCCTGGAAGGCTGGGCTTATGATTCCAGGTTCAGCACAGGTCTGATGGGGAGCATTTATGAATTACTAGGAGAATATAACATAGAAATATGGTGAAGTCTCTTTGCAAGCAGTACCCTGTCATGAAGGCATGAGATGTTTTAAAACTAGTTACAATCCATTGCACATATTCCAGACAGCTTTTGCTCTGGGGAGACCATGGAATTTGGGAGACACATACTTTCACTATAGAGAAAAGAACATATGTGCAGCCAGTGACTACTGCCAGGATAATGTGCCACATAAACCAATTAGAAGAAATTAAAACGGAAGGGAGAAGTTGCTCTTTTTGAAGGAACAAACCTCAACTCCTTCAAAAAGGTGATCTGTCATCAGGGTCTCCCACAGGTAGATAAGAGCGTGTGGAGGAGGGAGGGCACAATGGCTAGACTCAGTCAGCTCTGCAGCAAACACCAGCCAGAAGTTGGCTGGATCAGTTTTCATCAACAACTTGCGCAGGTCACAGGCTCAGTGCTGAAGACGCTCCCTTTCCAGGTGCCAGCTCAGGTGCTCGTTTTTAAACCCCCTCTCTCTGTCCTCACGCCCCACCCCTGCCTGACTTGTGTTGGGGATTGAGCCCAGGGCCTTGTGCCTGCCATTGTGGCCTGTGTAACCCTGAGCTATGCCCCAGACGCGTCCGGGTTTTCCCACGGCTCAGTAATTTGCTCGTGTTCTTTTTATCAGTTGATTGTAAGGATGTTACAAAGATAAGAGAGGCAAGGTATGGGAAAGGGCAGCAGCTTCTAGGCCCTTCTGGGGTGTGCCAACTGAGGCTCCTTCCTGTGTCTAGTATCTGGACACTCTCCAGTGCTGTCCCTTTTGGAAACTTGTTTGCATAGTCCTGTTTGAAGTGTGGACAGCCATGACAAGATACGCTCACGCAGAGCTGGGTCCCTGGCAGTAGACTGTGTGAGGACCCTGCAGGCCTGCCTGCTCCAGAGACTGCCTGCTTTAGTCTTGGCTGGCCGTGCACTATTTCTTCTCAGGGGATGGGTGGGGCCTCTGTAGACAGGAAGGTGTTACAATTCACTGTGGGCAGGCACAGGTGAGGCGATTTTATGAGCAGCTAAAGGCACAAAGGAGAAGGAAAGATTAGAGTTTCTGTGGTCGGCCTTGGGGCCAGAAACGATGGATGGAAAAAACTAATTTATGTATCATGATGTGACATCATTTCTCTCGTTCTCTGTCATTAAGTTTTACCTTTCTGAATCAGTGCAACTTTTCAGCCACCGCCTCCCTGCTGCCTGCACAGCAAATAGTGTGAGATTTCTGGTACATAAGCGAGAAGACATTGCTGTATACCCTTTCCCCTACTCGTAGCTTCCCCGTGCTTTGTGTTAGATTCCGTCTTAGCCCACAGAACCCTGTGTGCACTGGTCTTTTTATGTTTCCAAAACTGAGGTGTTAGCTATCTCTCTGGCCTTTTCCTGTACCTGTGAAATGGCATCATATTATTTCCTTCCCTGGGGCCTTTGCCGTTCCCTGTTTCAGAATGAGCACCTGGCAGGTCCAGCTGGAGACTCAGCGACTGCACACTGTTCCTCAGACTGCCTTAGTGTGGTCCAGATTCCAAGGCACCTCTGTCATCTGTTACCCAGGCTCACCTAGCCTCACATGGATTGTCTTACTCCACAGGACTTACCATTGGCTCCCGTCCTTAGTGTCGGTCTGTTCATCCTCCAGTTACGCTGTGAATTGTTAGTTCTCTGTCCTGTTTCACTGTTTTCATCTCAGTACCCATAGACACCCAGCCTTAGGATTTTGAGTGGCCATTTCTACCCGAGAAGGCACAGAGGCAGGTCATTTATAATTCCATAGTTTTTGCTCATAGGCTGCAATTTATTTGAATCAACCAAAAAGTGCTGAAGAGGCCATCAGCCATTTTAGGATGATCAGTTTAATGTTGTCTCAGGCAGAGTGTGGCTTGTAGCAGTTCAAGTGAGGAGGCAGGCTAGGGAAACAGGACAGCCTGTGGACACCCCCTTAATCAATTTCAGAATGATCTAGAATTCAGAGAAGGCTCAGAATTGACAGAGGGCAAGTTAGTCAACAAATAGCCATAGCGTTAGACTAAAGATGGGAGGAGCTGAGCAAATGGGAGAAAGAACTGCTCGGGGTTTGCACCAAACAGTCACGGTCACCTTGCTCGATGCCTTTATTCAGCTCATCTTGATGGGAGTTGCTGAGAGTTAAAGTTGCTTAGGTCCTCTGTGTCAGTGAAGAGCAGTTGTGGCACTGGAGCGTGGCTTGCGGATGGCAGGGGAGGGGTTGGAGGGCATTGGAGGGTGGGTGAAGACATTCCTGTTGGAGCAGTGTCTGGCACTACTCTACGCCCATCGCACAGCACTGAGGGCATCTGGCCCATTGTCTTCCAGACTGCTCACAGAAAAGGTCTCCTAATTGTTTTCCCCCTCCCAGCCCTGCATTACAAACATGCCTTTTTGTCAAAGATCTTTAATTATTAATGTTTTCCCCTTTTTAAACCAAAGGTTGCAATTAGAGTACAGTTTGCCGTCTATACTGAATTGACCTAAGTTGAACCAAAAGCCCCAAGCCTGAACAGAGCCCCATTCTAGTGATGGCCATAAGACAGCTCAATGGTTAGTTCATGTGGATTTCTGAAAGATTAGAGCTGGGTGTGGGCTTTTGGAGCCTGGCTGGTGAAGGCCCTCTGTCTTCAGATTGCTATCATCTAGGTGCTAGGTTTGTTCATTTAGTTTTTTAGACTCAGTCCCATTTGCAAAATGCATGTAATGGTACTACTTCCTTCACCGAGTGATTTTGAGTTCTCTTTAGATAATAATGCCTTTTTAGCTCTTGGCATATTGCCTGATACATAATCTGTGTATAGTAATTATTGTCTTGTTCTCTGAATTATCTTACAGAACTTGGACTTGAACCTTGATTAAAAGTTTTATTTTCTTTATTGCAGTGCATAGGATCAAACTCAGGGCATTGCATTTGCTAGATAAGAGCTCAGATGAAGCCAGATAGAAAGATAGGGGGGAATTAAGAGATGGGAAGGGACGCAGGAGCCCCTTTCCTTGTAGTTTGATCGGTCTCCCCAGCTGAGAATTCTAGTGCACTTTCCAGCATTTGCTGTGGAGGTTGTCTGTGTAGAGTCGCTTCAAATCAGAATGTTAAAACCACCATGAGCTGTGCTTTAGGCCCAAACGTTTATGACCTTTTCTCCTTTCCCAGCTGTAAACCTACAGTCTTGTAGGAATTAAGAACTCCATTTACAGTAGGGGCATCTTGTGCAGCACTTGTGATCCTGGCTCTGCCTCTTTCTGGCTTTGCCTTATCAGGCTATACGACTACCCAAAACACCCCGGGCACCATCCTGTGATCTCATTGGCCAACAAGAGTGAAAGGTTTCTTAACAGTTTTGAAATAAGACTTGAGAGCCACCAGAGTCTATGGATGGCTACTGTTAAGACATTTAAATGTGAGGATCCTTTGAGAAACTAGTATCCACCATTGGCTGTGATACATCTTTTTCTTTCTATTAGCCTGGAAAATATCATCCTGAAATTCTTTTTTGGTTTTTCGAGACAGGGTGATAGCCAGTGGTATCCTGTGATAGCCAGTGGTACCCTGTGATAGCCAGTGGTACCCTGTGATAGCCAGTGGTAACCTGTGATAGCTAGTGGTAACCTGTGATAGCCAGTGGTAACCTGTGATAGCTAGTAGTAACCTGTGATAGCCAGTGGTAACCTGTGATAGCCAGTGGTAACCTGTGGCATCATGGAACTGCTTCTCCTGCCACTGCCACTGCCACGGAGCTGCACATCCATCCCAGACTTTGAAATGTTTATTTCCAGAATGTGTTTCTCTTTCCCTGGACTCCAAAACAAAGTTAAGCAAAGAGTGGTATGAACTCGGGCAGTTGTGGGTGGGGTGGAGGGATCCCTGAAGGGCTGGCAGGTTGTGAGCGCTTATACCCTATGTTAACAGCATCCTATGTTAACAGCAGCCGCTCTGCTTGGACTGTGCATAGGGTGGTGAGAACAGGCTTCCCCTTCAGAGTAGTCACCGGGATGCAGATGTGCAGTAATGAGCTGCTGATGTTGTTTTGGGGACAACTTACCTGTATGGAGGCTGAAGGCCTGAAATTTGCACTGCGGTAAACTTGTAACAGTGGTTCTGACCTTAAGTGTCTTTATGCAGTCCACATTTTTACAACACATTTCACAGTTGATGTCTATATCAAAGTGAGTGTACATAAATGAATAAAATGTTTCCTTGGTAGCCATTGGTGTGTTATTTCAACACAGGGAGTAAAGATTTCATTTCCTTCCATTTACCTTGTATGCGTGGATGCCGCTATGCTCCGTGTATGTCAGAGGACAGCCCGGAAACCCATTCTCTCTTCTGACCATTTGGATCCCAGATCGAACCTGGGTAGTCAGGCTTGGTCCTAAGCCATCTCATTGGCTTCCTGTTTGATTTTAGAAAGAAGATAAACTTTTTTTTTGTCTTTGAAAGTATTTTAACATGCCCTTCCATTTTAAGTACATTTCTAAATTTGCTTTTTAGATATTTTCATAAAGTTCATAAAGCCCAGAAGTTCGAATGCATTAATTTCTGATGATCAAGGCATGGGATACTGAGATTCTAATCTGTTTTTTCTCAGTATTTTCCCAAGCATTTGGCTACATGGTGTGCCTTTTAGTGTGCTTAAAGTATTTCCTTCAATTTTTCAAACTTAGTTTCTCATTGCACTTTTGCTGTTGAGGCTATTAAAAATGTGTTT